TGCCGGGGCCAGAGCCTCTTGGCCTGGGCCGGCCAGCCGGCCGCCGAAGGGAGCCGCTCGGCCAGGAGGGCCGGACTGAACCGAGCCGCGCCGCACCCCGCCCCAGCCTACCTGCTGCCTCCCTGTTTCAGGCTTCCCGCGAACATTTGATTTGTGGGAAGCAGGGGAGGGGGAGGAGCAGGGGGCGGAGCGTTCAGGGGAGGGGGCAGAGTTGGGGTGGGGCTGAGGGCGGGGTTGGGGCGGGGGCGGGGCCCCATGGAGTGTCCTCCTTTTTAAAAACTAAAAGATGGTAACCCTAACCAAGGGTTGTGGTGGATTCTCCACCACTGGATGTTTCTCTAAATGTTCTGGTCTGGTTCAGTTCAGGGAAGTTTGCTGGTTCGTGTTACACAGGAAGTCAGGCTAGACGATCACAGTGGTTCCGGCTGGCAGTACAGTCCGTAAATCTATGAAGGCTGATTTGCATGGAATGATTTGGAAGAAAAGGCCTTCAAGGGCTAGACATAAGGGAAGTTTAAATGAGCTGCTGGGGGAGGGGTGCTGGGAGTCAGGACTCCTGGGTTCTATACCCAGCTTTGGGAGGGGAATGGGGCCTCAGTCAGTCCTAGAAACAGGAGAGGCTGGTCCCTGAGCCCCCACCACTGGCCCCACTCTGCATAGGGGAAGCTCTAACAGATGGCTGTTTAACCCCTGCAGTGCTGGCACCAAGCCATGGATTCAGCGTGGACATGGAGGGACCCATCACCTTCCAGGAGGCTGCTGCAGGGTTCGGGCAGAGCGTGGTGCAGTTTGGGAGTGCCAGCGCTGGGGGGTAAGGGCCGAGCGTGGGTTCAGGACCCCACAGCTATGTGCCTCACACCCATCCCCGAGGGGCCCGTCTGGTTGGGCTGCCCCTCCTGGCCCCCACTCCTCTGGGTGTGATGGGGTATCCCCTGAGCCCCCCTCTGCTCTCTCCCCACAGGTTGCTCGTCGGGGCCCCGCTGCAGACAGGAAACGTGAATGAAACCGGCAAAGTCTACAAGTGCGGCCCGGGCTCCGGACGCTGCCAGGAGATCCCCATCCAGAGTAGGGGCACCCTGTGCTATGGGGTCCAGTGGGTTAGAGCAAGGGGTCTGGGAGT